ATGACGCTCTTCCGATCTTGCTATTTCGGAGGGAGGGTTGTTAGTCATGTAGAGGAGACACACATTTCCTCATGTGCTTTGTCTGTTCACACAATTAGCAAATTTACTGTAACTTTCCTCAAAATGATAATCTGTGTTTTTCTTCAGATGACATTAATTACATAACAAATAATGTTTTGAGAAGAAACAAGTTCACTTTTTGCTCTGCTGGTTGTTTCTTACAGGTATTTTTCTTTCAGTAGTTACAGTAGTTTATTGTGTTTATTCAGTCAGTAGTCCGTGTATGTTAAACATGTTGGTAGGATGAGGGTTAGACGGTTCAAGTGCCACAGAAGAATTTGTGAATGTTGGCATAACGTTACAAATTATAACAGTTAGTTTTAGAATATTACAACTTACTTCATTGACAGTTTGGCGGAGGTAACAGATTGTCCTTTGTAACCAGCACTGAATCTGTTACTCGTCTGGCCTACTTTCATCCCTGGACACATTCATAGCAAGTTCAGCTAACTAATATAATAAACTGAACTAATTTGCTTAGACCGGACACTCAAACTGAAGCTGATGTTGTTAACTGATCTGTTGCTGGTGAAGAGTATTTCATATATGAATAGTAATTCAGTCAGGTGGCACTAAAATATGCTCCTGTGACTATGATTGCACTGTCCACCATTGTGACCACATTTAGCTGATTTCTTTTTTTCATTCAGTCTACATTACGTTTTTCATTTCAAAAATAAAACATTTAATTAGGGCCCGAGCACCGACGTAGTCGGAGCGGAGGACCTATTGTTATTCGATTGTTTATTAGGGCCCGAGCGCCGACGTAGTCGGAGCGGAGGACCTATTGTTTTTCGATTGTTTATTAGGGCCCGAGCAGCGATGTAGTCGGAGCGGAGGACCTATTGTTATTCGATTGTTTATTAGGGCCCGAGTGCCGACGTAGCCGGAGCGGAGGACCTGTTGTTATTCGATTGTTTATTAGGGCCCGAGCGCCGACATAGTCGGAGCGGAGGACCTATTGTTATTCGATTGTTTATTAGGGCCCGAGCGCCGACGTAGTCGGAGCGGAGGACCTATTGTTATTCGATTGTTTATTAGGGCCCGAGCGCCGACGTACTCGGAGCGGAGGACCTATTATTTTTCGATTGTTTATTAGGGCCCGAGCAGCGATGTAGTCGGAGCGGAGGACCTATTGTTTTTCGAATGTTTATTATTATTATTAGGGCCCGAGCACCGATGTAGTCGGAGCGGAGGACCTATTGTTTTTCGATTGTTTATAAGGGCCCGAGCACCGACGTAGTCGGAGCGGAGGACCTGTTGTTATTCGATTGTTTATTATTATTAAGGCCCGAGCACCGACGTCGTCGGAGCGGAGGACCTATTGTTTTTTCGAATGTTTTTTATTATTATTCTTATTGTACCACTTTCATCGCAAAAAGGAGGTGCTTGGGATACTGGAAAACTTCTGAAATTTGGCACGCAAGCCAGAATTTGCGAAAATTGCAGTCTGATTGGGGTGTCCAACTGCGGTATGAAATATTGGCTCGATAGCGCCCCCTATTGAGTAGCCCCAACACCGGGTTTCACCTAGCTGTATGAAATTTGGTAGGTATGTGGAACGTGATGAGACGCACACAAAAATCCTCTTGGAGTTTTTCATTAAACCAAACAGGAAGTCGGCCATTTTGACTTTTATGATGTTTTTTGACCGTTTCAAGGCGTCACACTTTAACGAACTCCTCCCAGAGATTTGACCCGATTGACTTCAGATTTGGTCAGTATGCTCTTGAGACCGTGGCAGTGTAAAGTTACTCAAAGATCAAAAAGTTATCGAACTATGTATCCGTGGCGTGGCGTCAAAAAAACACCATTCGCCGCGAAACAGGAAGTTGTTGTAACTCAGCCATACATTGACTAATCTGCTCCAAATCTCTCATATGTCATAACATCCTGACGTGGAACACATCTATAAGACAATTTAGAATCATAGTAATAGCACCACCTAGTGGCAACTGGAAGTTGTAAGTTGTGTACTTTGACATCCTGCTCCTCACAGATTAATCAGATCCCTCTAAAATGTTGTCAGAACAGCCTTAAGACCTTGATAATGCTTCATTGTGAAAATTGTAAGAAGTTGTTGAAGGGTGGCGACGTGGCGGTTCAGCGAATTTCGATCCTTCGCCATGAACGAATAAACTGATGTAACTCGACTCCACATCATCAGATCTTTACCAGATTTCACACGTTTGATTAGACTCCAGGCCTGAAGACATCTGCAGGCCAATTTTTAATCATAGTCATAGCGCCACCTACTGGTAACAGGAAGTTAAAGGCTTTATACTTTGGCTTGTTTCTCTTAGTAGGTAAATCAGATCAACATCAAATTAGTTCCACACAAATGTAAGAAGTTCATCATGCCAGTTCATGAAGCTTTTGATGTTTCGTCGAACGCCGTTGCCGTGGCGACGCAGTCTTCGCCGTGAAAAAATGAAGGTAATTTTGAGAGGCTAGAAATGCTCGAAACATAAGCAAACTTTGCATACACATTTAAAGCCCAAAATGTAGTTATATAATATGATTTTATTGGGTCAGAGTGGCAAATCGGCTCAATAGCGCCCCCTACAAAATTTCGACGAAGCAGCCCTCGCTGTATGTTTCACATAGATTTACAAAATTTGGTAGGCACATGTATCACATGTAGACTTAAAAAAAAGTCTTCGGGGTCCATGCTCTAAACCCAACCGGAAGTCAGCCATTTTGAATTTTGTATGAATTTCTCGTGTTTTTTTTCCATTTCCAGGTGCTGTACTATGAACTCCTCCTAGGGAATTAATCCAATCAGCTTAGAATTTGGTCAGAACAATCTAAAGACCTTAGCGATTAAAAGTTACTAAAAGCATGAGGTTTCATTGAACAACATGGACGTGGTGTGGCAGCCATTTTACATGGTTCACCATCATCCATCAAGCTGTTGTAACTCGACTGTACTTTGTCAAAACTGTCCCAAACTTGACATGCTTGATTACGGTCATGATTTTAGGACTTCTGCATGCCAATATTAACTCATAGTCATAGCGCCACCTACTGATGACCATGGCTGTAAGCAGGATTCTATAATTACAGCGGCCCAAACACTGAACTTATTAAAAGGGTTTGTGGGCACACCATGAGAAAAAGACTTCTATGATCTAAATATGTGCAAACTAAGATGCTTGGAGAGCAAAAGTTAGATAACAGTGCATTTTCAAACCATGTCAGTGGGCATTAGTATAAATGATCTGTCCAGAGCTTCTTCATGACAATCAGGTTAAACGTTATAATGAATGCTTCACACTACAATCTAAAGTTACAGAAGAACTTAAAATGAAAACAGTGTTAAATTAAAATGTTCAAGTAACAGCAAATGGCACTACTGTTTTGTTAACTTTCATGTAAGTCCAAATACAATCAGGTTCAAATCTCTACCTCTATACCTGGTAATCAACTAGATACAGTGTGTAAAATAAGACAGTTGTTGGTCAAGAAAAACTCTTTGTTGTTGTGTAGTGTTTTTAAAAGTGTTTAAATCACCATTTGGCACCATCTATAATGTGGTTTATCTCAGAAAGCAACAACCAAACATCGGTTTCAGTTCCTTTGATTGTGGTTTTGATTGTGTGTCTTATCTGTTGAGTTATTAATAACTGGATCAGGTTCCAGTCATGTTCTGAGACTCAACATTAGTTTTCACCTAAATTCTTCTAGGTTATCAATGCCATAGAGCAGGACTACAGGTTGCCACCCCCTATGGATTGTCCTAGTGCATTGCATCAGCTGATGCTGGATTGCTGGCAGAAAGAACGCAACAACCGGCCCAAATTTAGCCAGATTGTCAGCACCCTGGACAAGATGATCCGCAACCCCAACAGCCTCAAGGCC